GGAGGAGAAGGAGGAGGAGGAGGGGGAGGAGGAGAAGAAGAAGAATAGGGATTCTAAAACCTTTTCATAAATTGAAATTATTTTAAATTTAAAGCAAGTTTTATATTTGTGTTGTGTGTGACATTCCCAACTAGTATTATAGGTGGGAGTCATTGTTCTCATCTTGGTCAGTTACCATGACCCCTTTAGAATTGTAACTTGTAATCTATAAAATTGAGACATGCTACCTCATCAAGTGGTTATAAAATGTGAAATGAGTTGAAAGTAAAAAGAAAGACTGAACACAGCATTTTAAAATTGGCTATTTATTCTTGTCTACTGAACAGAATTGCCCTGTGGTCCCTTCTTGGCAAGCTCCTCCGAAGGAGGTTGAACCCACTTTGCATAGATTGTTTTGTTTTGTGTTTTCTCAGTCACCCAGGCTGGCAGAGAAAGGTCTGAAAGTTCCAGGCTGGCCTGGCTACCTAGACACATCTTATCAGTAAACAAAACACAAAACAACTGCCAGACACTGGTGGCTTATGCCTGTAATCCTATGCACTCTGGCGGCTGAGATCTGAGGATGTGGTTCAAAGCCTGCTCAGGCAGTAAAGTCTGTGGGACTCCTATCTCCAATTAACCATCAGAAAACTGAAAGTTGAGCCATGGCTTAAAGTGGTAGAGTGCAAGCCCTGAGCAAAAAGAGCTCAGGGACAGCACCCAGGCCCTGAGTTCAAACCCCCACCCCCACCCCAAGACTGACCAACTAAAAAACAACAACAACAAACAAAATACAAGGGGCTGTGGATGGCCAGCCCAAGGATGTGAATTCCGCCTGGGATGATAACCTCTAAGGTAAATAGGGGGAAAGAAATGGAGGGAGGAAGGGTGAACAAATGCAATTATGGTATTCAGCATACACTATGTGGGAAAAGAACTATGCAACTTGTGGGCAAAAACAAGAAGGGAAAACTGGGGGAAAGCAAAGAAGGAGTGACATTGTCTAAAAAGAAATGCACTCATTACCTAACTTATGAAGTGGTAAACCCCTCAGTACAATCCTTTAATAATAACGACAAAACTATACTTTAGAGACAGTTAATACACATTAATCAAGATACGTTGTACTGCTGGACACTGGTGGCTCGTGTCTGTAATCTTAGCTACTTTGGAGGGTAAGATCTGAGAATGCAGGTTCAAAGCCAGCCAGGGCAGAAAAGTCTGAGACTTTTAGCTCCAATTAGCTACCAAGTAAGTCAGAAGTGGAGCTGAGGCTCAAGTGGTTTAGTGCCAGCTCTGGGACGGTGCCCAGGCCCTGAGTTCAGTACCAATAAACTGACATGTTGCTATTTGTACAACTACTTAATTTTAAGAAAAAGAAATGAAAAAGAAAATGACAATAAACAGAAGATAAAATCAGGTTGCAGCTTAGAAACGTTATTCTGGACTAGGAATGTGGCTTAAGGGTAGAGCGTTTGCCTAGCATGCAAGAACCTCTGTGTTGGATTTCTCAGTACCACATAAACAGAAAAAGGAATAACTGGCACTGTGGCTCAAGTGGTAGAGTGCTAGCCTTGAGCAAAAGAAGCTCAGGGACAGTGCCCAGGCCCTGAGTTCAAGCCCCAGGACAAGAAAGAAAGAAAGAAAAAGAAAGAAAGAAAGAAAGAAAGAAGGAGAGGAAGGAAGGAAGGAAGGAGAGAGGGAGGGAAGAAAAAAGAAAAAGAGAAAGAAAGAAAGAGAGAGAGAGAGAGAGAAAGAAAGTTATTCTGTGGAAGTGGCGCTGTAGCTCAAGTGGCAGAGCGCTCGCTCACCTTGAGCTGAAGAGCTGAGGGACAGTGCCCAGGCCCAGAGTTCAGGCCCCACGACAGACAAAAAGAAAAGAAAAGAAAGAAAAAAAGAAAGTTATTCTGGTTGCAATATGCAGTAAGAAAGTCATCCTTTTAAGACCATGACTATGAATGCTCCAGTGAGGAAAAATCTAGATTCTAGAAAAATCTGAAAAGATGTAGTGATTGTCTGTAGGTGGTTTAGAAGAGGGTAGAACCAGTCTCAGGGGCTGTTTTCTTAGCGGGAGAGTAGTTGGTGGTTCCTGACTTGAAGCAGGAAATACCACAGGGAGAGTAGAAAACTTCCTGTTGATCCTAGGTGGGTGGGGGAGGGTGTGTCTGGGTGGGGCAGAGGGGGAGAGAGGGAAGGGCAACAGTATTTTCCTAAGGGGATTGGAATGATAAAGATAAATTCTCTCCAGTCACTGTTTTCCTAAGTGGTAGGTCAAACATTTTTGAGGAATTTATAACCCCCAGGCTGAGAACTAAGTGAAAAATAAAGAAGTTAAAAAAAAAAACTTTCAGATGCATAAATTCAACAAGATAGCAATGTCACTTCTGGAAACCTCCCTGGGACTGTCCGGACTCCAGCTAGGCAAGTGTTGTGCCAAGAGCTACATCCATCTGCAGGCCTATCCACTTGGAAAAAATACAAAAGATAAAAAGTGTATGTGGCTCAGTGGAGGAGAACAAATTTAGCATGCTTAGGCTCTTAGTTCAATACCAACATTAAAAAAAAAAAAAAAAAAAGCTAGGTACTGGTGGTTGTGGCTCACTGGCTCATGTCTGTAATCCTCGCTACTCAGGTGGATACCAGTTCAAAAGCAGCCCACGCATGAAAGTCTGGGAGACTCTTTTACCCAGTCCTCAGGCTTGAACTCAGGGCCTGGGCACTGTCCCTCAGCTTCTTTGCTCAAAGCTAGCACCCTACCACTTGAGCCACAGCTCCACTTTTGGCTTTTTTTGTGTATGTGGTACTGAGGAATCGAACCCAGGGCTTCATGAATGCTAGGCAAGCACTCTACCACTAATTCACCTTCCTAGCCCCTACCATCTGTGAGACTCTTAGCTCCAATAAATCACCAAAAAGCTAGAAATGATCCCCGACTTCAAGCTCCAGGACTAGCACAAAGTAGACAAAAATAGTAAGTGTAAATCTACATAAATAAAATTCTCTAAAATAGATTGGGTAAAAAGCAAGTTAGACCTGTGTGCTGAGGCTCACACCTGTAATCCTAGCTACTCAGGAGGCTGAGATTTGAGGATCATGTTTCAAAACCAGCCCAGGCAGAAAAGCCTGAGACTCTTACTTCTAATTAACCACAAAAAAAAAACAACAACAACCAAACAAGCAAACAAACAAACTGAAGTAGAGCTGTGGCTCAAGAAGTAGAACACTAGTCGGCCGCTGGTGGCTCACGCCTGTAATCCTAGCTACTCAGGAGGCTGAGATCTGAGGATCGCGGTTCAAAGCCAGCCCGGGCAGGAGAGACTGTGAGACTCCTATCTCCAATAAACCACCCGAAAACCGGAAGTGGCGCTGTAGCTCAAGTGGTAGAGTGCTCGCCTTGAGCTGAAGAGCTGAGGGACAGCGCCCAGGCCCAGAGTTCAAGCCCCACGACCGACCAAACAAACAAACAAACAAACAAACAAAAAGAAGTAGAACACTAGCCTTGAGCACAAAAGGTCAGGGACAGTGCCCAGGCCCAGAGTTCAAGCTCCAGAATTGGAAAAAAAAAGAAAAAGAAAAAAAAGAAAGAAAGAGAGAGAAAGAAAGAAAGAAAGGAAGGAAGAAAGGAAGGAAGGAAGGAAAAGAAGAGTCACAAAAATAAAACAGAATACTGCATACTGAAAGGATCAATGAAAGGATCCCTCACATCCATGCCAGGGGACCATGCAGAAACAGGCAGGCACAGGAGAAAGATTATTACAAGGTTTATTAGAGGAGCCTTATTGGCCCCGGAGAGAGAGAGCACATGGCAGCCACAGTTATAGGTAGCAGCAGGGTCTGGGGATAGGAAGTGAGGTAGATGGCAGTTCAGGTGGGTCTGGGTGGAGAGAGGGAGGGGCCAGCTGTTGACAGCAACTCCAGGGCAGGGAGGAGTTTGGGTCTGGGTGGAGCTGAGGACCAAAGGTGGGCATAATGCTTACACATATAACATCCTATTTTGGTTTGTGGGTATGTGCATATATACTGAAGTAAGGAGGTCAGGTCTGGCCTGTGCCATGTTGGCCACATGGATGGATGGTAGAGTCTGGCCTCTTGTCTTCATGCTCAGGGAGGGAAATGCCCCCTACCCATCACCTGCCTCCTAGGTGATGGGCATGCCTGGAACCCTGGAGGAAGGGGCAAGCCCTTGGCTGGTAAGTTCCTGAATCTGTCAGTTGAGTGCCTGGGACCGAGAATTTCCTGTGGAGCCACCCTCTGGTCCAGATCCAAGCCCAGCTGCCCTCAGGAAGCCATGCCACACGTCTCTGTGATTCTGTTCTGTGTCCTGTCTTGTCTCTGGTCATCATAGTGTCCCAATTCAGCTCTCCATCGGAGGTGAATTGGCTTGTTTGTATTGTTTTTGTGCTTTCTTTCCTCTCTAGCACGTTTCCTAGCTGTGTTATGTGTATTTGGGGGCTGCAGGCCTTTGTACAACTGGCTGCCTGCAGCCTGCTCATTGCATTATAAAGACTCCAATATTCCATATTCCAAAATATGACTTCTAGGATGATTCACCTTACAATACAAGTTATACAAAAAAAAAAAAAAGGAAGGATAAACTTCTAACACACCAAGGGCCAGTAAAATAGTAAAGTAAGAGAATCCATGTTTGCATTCAAATATTTTCTTTTTTTTTTCATTTTTATTATTTAATAGATCATCAACTCCCTGCAGGTGGAATTTCATCTTACTGATTCAGTGCTAAGTAGGGAACAGTGACAAAGCTAGTCGGAATAAGCTACATGAAAACACACTAAGCTAATACAGCTCGCTTTCTTTTTAAGAGGAAAACATCAATATACTCTAGAATGCACAATGATTTAGTCACTGAGACATAGAAGTGGGATCTTGAAGAATGTAGGCAAATCCCAGGTGCAAGATGAGCTGTGAAGCTGTGCAACTGTTCCTGGGGCCGCATCTCTTGACCATTAGCTGAATCTTGATGTTAGGGAAAGGTTTTGGCAAACACCAGATGGAGTTGCTGCAAAAAGTTGACTTAGGACCTGTGCATAGGAACCAAGAGGCAGGAAAGTACTAAGCACTGCTGATAGCATCCACCCCAGGAAGGACTTTACCTTCCTGGAGCTCTAAATTGGCACCACCCCACAGTGCTCACATGGCAGAGTTTATCCTCTGTGTGCCATTGGGCACAGCATGTGTCAGTTTCTCTACCACCTATGATGGTAATGCAGCCACAAGAGGTGGCTTTTACCACCTCGTTCCTGAGAGCTTTGGTTCCCTGAGCAAAAGCTTCCCATTCAAATACCCCCACAGGTCTATTCCATTCAATCTGCTTAGCCAGACCGACAGCCTCCACGTACTTCTTGCTGCTCTCAGGACCACAGTCCAAGCCCATCCAGCCAGCAGGTATGCCAGAAGCCACAGTGGCTTGGCCAGTCTAGGTGTTTTCATCAAGCAGTGACAAAGTCAACAGGCAAGGTCATCTTTACACCATTCTTCTCGGCTTTCACCATAAGATCTTTAACAATCTTGGCTTCCTCTTCATCAAACAGAGAAGTACCAATCTCCAAGTTGTTTTACCTTCCTTGAGGTAGGTAAAAGCCATTCCTCCCCCCATAATCATCTCATTGACTTTGTCCAACATATTATTGATCAGTTGGATCTTGTCCGCAACTTTAGCTCCACCCAAGATGGCCAGAGAGGGTCGCTCTGGGCTCTCCAAGGCTTTGGCAAAGTAGTTCAGCTTTTTCTTCATCAAAAATCCACCAGCCTCTGTGGCAGATTGACTCCCACCATGGAGCTGTGCGCTCTATGTGCAGTGCTGAAAGCATCATTGCCATAGACAGCCCCTAGTTTGGAAAGTGATGCTCGGAAAGCTTCTATTTTGGCTGGTTCAGCTTTAATCTTGTTCCTGGAAGCATTTTTTCCTTTCCCTTCTTCCTCTACATGAAAGCAGAAGTTCTCCAGCAGGATGACAGACCTAGTTGCAGGGCTGAACAGGCTTTCTCTATTTCTGGGCCCACACAATCCTTCAAGAACAGAACATCCTTGCTCCGCAGAGACTTGAGTTCGACAGCAACTGGCTCTACGGAGTACTTGTCCGGCATGGGGACACCATCAGGCTGGCCCAGGTAGCTCATAAGGACAACTGAGTTGGCACCATTGTCCCAGCAGAATATGATGCTTGGGATAGCAGCCTTGATCCTCTGGTTGGTTGTTATCTGGTTGTTCTTCATAGGAACACTGAAGTCCACCCTTATCATGATCCATTTCCCCTTCACATCCAGTTTGTCCAGAGTCAGCTTGTTAGCCACAGTTTGGCAATATTGAGAGGGTGACACTGATTGAGAACTGAGACCAAAGTGGATGCAGAAGCAGATGTACACTAAAGACATGTGCAAAATCTCAAATATTTTCCTTTAAGCCGGGCCCTGGTGACTCTGACCTATAATCTTTGTTACTTAGGAAGATGAGATCTGAGGATCATGGTTTGAAGCCTGCCCAGGCAGAAAAATCCATGAAACTTATCTTCAATTGCTACCAAAAAGCTGGAAGTGCTAGTGCGGCTCAAGTGGTACAGCACGACTTGAGTGAAAAAAAAATCCAACAAGAGGCTGAGGCCCTGAGTTCAAGGCCGAAGTCTCTGGTTTCTTTTACAATAAGCATGCCATTGTATATATTTTAATGTTGATTATATTTTTGGTCCGTCATGGGTCCTGAACTCTGGGCCTAGACACTGTCCCTCAGCTCTTCAGCTCAAGGCTAGCACTCTACCACTTGAGCCACAGTGCCATTTCCACCTATTTTTTCTGCTTATGTGGTGCTGAGGAATCGAACCTAGGGCCTCATGCATGCAAAGCCAGCACTCTACCACTGAGCCACCTTCCCAGCCCTTGTGGTTGATTTTAAGACAAGGTTTTGCTTTGTAGTCTAAGTTGGCTGGCCTCCTGGCAATAAACCTCCTTTCTCAACCTTCCAAGTACTGTGCCACGCCAAGCATGCAAGTATATATACACATAGATGTGTATGTATTATATATATGTATACATATGTATTATGTATATATAAACATATGTATACCTATGCATGTATACATATGTATATATAAAATATCAAAGCTAAAAGAAGTCTATGTGAGATGCAAAGATTTTTCATTCAATAAATATTTCTTCAGGTCCCACTTTGCAGCCAGTGCTAACGAGACAGTGGAGTCACAGTGGTCTTTGAGAGGGCCACTTCCTTGCAGAGAGCCGGGTCCAGCAGCAGACAGGCCACTGAACTAATCATAAGGAACAAAAACGTCTTGGCTAAGAGCACATAGTAGGCCTGAAAGGGGAGCTGTGTAAAGTGAGACCTAACAGGAGCCTTCCCAACAGAAGATGCTGTGTGTGTCAAAGCTGAGGGAAAATGGAGCAGAAGCCAGAGGTATTTGCAGGTCTAGGATATGAAAGTAGGTGTGTGGGGCTGGGAAGGTGGCTCAGTGGTAGAGCGCTTGCCTTGCATGCATGAGGCCCTGGGTTCGATTCCTCAGCACCACATAAACAAAAAGAAAAAAGCCGGAAGTGGCACTGTGGCTCAAGTGGTAGAGCACTAGCCTTGAGCTGAAGAGCTGAGGGACAGCGCCCAGGCCCAGAGTTCAGGCTCCACGACCGGACCCCCAAAAAAAATAAATAAATAAATAAGTGCATGTGATCACAGAGCTTGGATTTTTGCCTTCACAGTGACACAGTCAGTGGAATCCCACATTTGCAGGCAGCAGCCCTTCTACATTGTGTGGGTGAACATACCAGTGAGGTCAGCTGGAAAGAAAAGCATGGAAAGAAAGATGGAGCATCCTGGGCTTAGAAAAGAGATTGCAGAAGAGCAACGCAGCTGACAGTGAGCTCACTGACAGACAGCTCACTGAACAACTGACAAGCAAAGGGTACACATATTTGAAATATTTCAGGAAGGATATGAATTGTAAATGTTAGGTTTTTAAAAAGAGGTAGCCGAGTAAGAACTGCACCACGCACGTGGTATTCAGGTAAGGGGTAGGTTTATTCAGTAGACCTGCTGGAACCAGGCAATGTTGGCACTCCACGTGGCTGGGAAAAGAGAGGGTCTGGTCCCGGGTTAGGCCTTATATAGGGTAGGGGGGCGGGAAATGTGTGTCCAGGTAAAGGGAAGTGGGACCAGGTAAGAGGTGGGACCAGGTGGGAGAAAGGTGTGGCCACATCAGATTAAGATGTGATCTCAGGGGATGCAGATGTGACCTCTTCCAGGTGTCCCAGTTGCCTAGGTAATGCAGGTTCTGGGCGAGGTCTGTTTGCCATCCTGGAATGGGCCTTACAGTAAACACTATCCTAGCAGAGAGAAGAGCCCAGCCCATCTCCTCAAGAAGTGCTCTCTGAAGTGGTTCACAAGGTAAAATACAGACAAGGAGGCAGAGGTGTGGCTCAAGTGGTAGAGCACCAGCCTTGAGATGATAAAGCCAAACAAGAACACTAGGCCCTAAGTTTAAGTCCCAGTACCAGTATGAGTGTGTGCTTGTGCACATGCACACACAGACACACAGAATTGTTGAAAGAATAAATGAACAAAATGATGGATAAGTTAATAAGTGAAAACTTGAAGCACTGAACACATTGGACAGCACAAAATAAGTATTTAGCCGGGCGCTGGTGGCTCACGCCTGTAATCCTAGCTACTCAGGAGGCTGAGATCTGAGGATCGCGGTTCAAAGCCAGCCCGGGCAGGAGAGACCGTGAGACTCCTATCTCCAATAAAACACCAGAAAACCGGAAGTGGCGCTGTAGTTCAAGTGGTAGAGCGCTCACCTTGAGCTGAAGAGCTGAGGGACAGCGCCCAGGCCCAGAGTTCAAGCCCCACGACCGACAAAAAAAAAAAAAATAAGTATTTAATGAATCCTTTTGTTGTTGTTGTTGTCCATGGGGCTTGAACTCTGGGCCTGGGCACTGCTCTTCAGCTCTTCAGCTCAAGGCTAGTGCTCTACCATTTGAGCCACAGCACCACTAGTAGTTTTCTGGTGGTTAACTGGAGATAAGAGTCTCACTGACTTTCCTTCCCAGGCTGGCTTTGAACTGCAATCCTCAGATCTCAGCCTCCTGAGTAGCTATGATTATAGTCATGAGCTACTGGCGCCTGACAGTAAATTATATTCTTAGGAGAAGAATATACCTATGCACCTGATCATATAAAACAATATTTATCAAACTCCAGGAAATGGAAACAAGAGGACTTTTTTTTATTGTCGTTTTCTTTTCTTTTTGTATTGTTCGTTTATCTGCCTAGGAGGATAAGGAGGGGCATAGAAATGGAGGGACAAAGGGTGAACAAATACAGCAATGGTACTCACCAGACACTATGTTGAAAATGAACTATACAACTTGTGGGTGGGGATGGGAGAAGAAAACTGGGAGAGAGTGAGGGAATGGATGACACTGTTCAAATGGAAATGTACTCATTACCTGCCTTATATAACTGCAACCTCTCTGTAATATCACCTTTATAATAATTAAAAAATAATGATTAATTAATCCTATTACTACTAATAATAGTCATTAGTAACAGACACTGGAGGAAATTGGAAGGATGATGTCTCTTGGGCTGGGGAGGTTGGCTGATTATGTACCTAATTACCTTCATTAAAACGTATCATTGGGGCTGGGAATATGGCTTAGTGGTAGAGTGTTTGCCTAACATGAATGAAGCCCTGGGTTCAATTCCTCAGTACCACATAAACAGAAAAATCCGGAAGTGGTGCTGGGCTCAAGTGGTAGAGTGCTAGCCTTGAGCAAAAGAAGCTCAAGGATAGTGCTGAGGTCCTGAGTGCAAGCCCCAGGACTGGAAAGAAAAAAAAAAACTCTAAAAAACATAATTATTTCCCTAAGATTAGTCTATATTATACACTTAAATCTTTAGCAAGATACTCCATTTTTCAATCTTTCTTTTTTTATTTTTTTTATTTTTATTTTTTGTGAACATACTGTACAGAGGGGTTACAATTACATGGGCAAGATAATGAGTACATTTCTTATCAAGCATTGCAGCCTCCTCGTTTCCCCTTCACATCCCTTCCCAGCCTCCCCCCTTTCAATTTTTCTTTAAGCCTAACTTCTAACCCACTATGGGAATTCCCCCTCCCCCTCCCGCATTATTCAAGGTTTCACTGTGAACTTCCAAGTTCACAGTGACAACCCCAGATGCCTTGAGTGGGGGGGGGGGGGGGGGGAAGGGCAGATAATTAACATAAAGGTATAAAATGTAAATAACAATATTCAGCACTTAACCTACTCCCAGGAACTATGCTGAACCAATTACTCGTTAACAACCGGAGAATCATTCCAATTCTCATTCTTCGGAAAGTAAAGTACCCAAGGTCAGAGTTTGGAGGAGAGGAACTAGGCCACGGATGTCTACCATTTTCTACCATTTCCTTTGTAATCAATTCCTTTCCAAAATTTGAATTTTATTCTGCAGGCAATTGATGGATCGGCCTCTAGTTGGGAAGAGAGCGACTATGTGAAAGTCACATTTCTCTGGAGCCCAGGGTTCCTTGAGAGTGACAGAGCTAGTTAAAAGTGGGAAGTTCCCTGTAACCAGACACCAGAAAAGTAAATTGTTCTTCCTTGGCAAGAAATGGAGAATTAAGGAGAGTCTGAGCAGGGAAGTGAGGACTGCAATTCTGTGAAAAACACTTCCCCAGGTACAAGGTGACCTAAGAGTTGTATAAACATTTTCCTTCCATTTCTGAGCCCTTTCCCTGTCTCTCTCTGTCTCTGTGTCTTTCTATCTGTCTCTCTGTCTCTGTTTCTCTGTGTCTCTGTCTCTCTCTTACTCCCAATGTCTCTGTCTTTCTGTCTCTCTCTTGGTCTCTATCTCTGTCTCCCAGTCTCAGGCCCAAGGACTCTTTTCTGCTGAGCTACATTCCTAAGCCTAGTTGCATACATGTAAATAAGTTTCCTGTTGTTGGCCCTTTCTCATTTAAACACAATGTGGAGAAGGCTGTGAGGACTTGGGGACCTACCCCAAAGAAGTGGGTGGGATTCACTTCCAGTATTCTGGGAGGTAAGAGGGCTACAGGCTTGGTTGTCAGCCCCCAGGCCCTAAGCCTTCTTTCACTTTCCATAAATACTAATTGAAGATAGTCTAGGCCTTTATCACTTCTTTTTTTTTTTTTTTTTTTTGGGGGGGGGGGTCCAGTTGTGGGGCCTGAACTCTGGGCCTGGGTGCTGTCCCTCAGCTCTTCAGCTCAAGGCTAGGTCTCTACCACTTGAGCCACAGCGTCACTTCCGGCTCTTTTCTTTTTGCTTATGTGGAGCTGAGGAATTGAACCCAGGGCCTCAGGCATTCAAGGCAAGCGCTCTACCACAAGCCACAGGCAGGTAGATAG